TTTTGAAATTACGTAAAGACTATGAGAGGCAGGAGCCAGCAATTTATGGTGAGTGAAGCTAGAGTATAGACCTGTATTTTGCATGTATCAATTCAAGTTTAATTTAGCTAGTAAAAAAATGGCATCATTTATAAAGAAAAAAGTGGTCTAAGTTACCCCATTTTACGGCACCTCCTATGATTTTTGAGCTACAACATTGAGACGCAGATCATTCAATGCGTAAGGACCATATCTATCGATTGGTCCTTGCTGTTTTTCAAAATTCTTATTTTTGTGGGTGGGGTGGGCATTTTTCGAAAAAATTGGTTTCCCCCCCCTTTTGAATATCCCCTCCCCTTTTTTCAAAATATTTTCAAAACTATAACGAAAATGAAAAAAAACTTTGACCAATCTCTAGATCTTTTATTTGCGAATCGAACGGTATATTACTCATTGCTGTAGCTTAAAAACTCTGGGAGGAGATAGGTTTGCAGTGACAATAAGTGTGAATGTTCAGTAGGGCGCGACAAAGTCCCGAGCCCCTCAAAACAGGCATTCAAGGTGACATAGATGCAAGACTAGACATTACTGGAGCCGAAATTCAGTCAAGGATGGTGGGAACGACTGCATGAGCACCATCCCACACGACAGCAGCCGGGTAACTAAATAGCAGCGTATTCAGGTTGTCTATTTATGTGCCCGACCAGTAATTTTCGCCCATATTAAATGTTAAAGAACTCCCCCACCCCTAACCCTTTCACGAACTGTCGTCAAGGCATAAATCAACATACAGAGACGATTTTGGTACCATTGGATAGGTCAGAATGTCAGCTTTGAAGTGAGACTTAAAACCGAAAAAGTGAATTTTACGATTTTCATCCAAGAAATTCAGGGCGTAAAGGGTTAAAAAAACAAAAAGTGGTCAAAGTTACCCCACCGGTCAAAGTAACCCCATTTTACGGTATGTAGTTTAATATACCAAGCAATTTATATGCATCTAGAAAATCAATTGCAGAGCACCCACTTTTGTTACATTGGATGTTAAACATCCAGAAAATAGTTATTTACATAGGCATTTGATGTCACCATGCCAATAACTATGATAAGGATTTTAATTTTAGTTGGCTTGAGTTCATTGTTTTATTGGATTGGATAGTATGTTAGGGGAAAATGTGATTCTTGAATTTCTAGGATTTTCTTTCCAGATAAATTCATGTTAGCTTTCTAGTAGGTTATGGAATTCATACCTGATACCAGCCTTTTATTTCAATCCAGGTTCCCAAGTGAATGTGCCTAAGGAGACAAGCAGCACTATTACTGGCTGCTTGGCCAATGACCTCAAAGCCTGCTCTTAAATGTCAAGCCCCCACTTCTTGCATGCAGGTGATTAAATGAACTAATTTTATTGATTGAAATAATTTATTGTTGTTGCAGGGGAAGCTGTGTTGCTTTTTAGCCCAACCCTTTGGCTTTCATGCTTGTTTATTTAATGCCTGAGCTGTGTTTTCTCATTATGTAACTGTTAATGTAATTTTTTTCTGTTTTTCTCTCCAGTCCAGACAAGGATGTAAAATGTTTAATGTAAAGTAAATTCCAAAGCCAAGCATAATCCTAATGCAAAATCCCAATGAATAACTGCACCAGTATGGGACCCTAAGCTAACTCACCACTTGAGAGGAAGTGATTATTTATTGCATACATTCATTTTATTGCTCAATTGATGTTATATTACTAATGGTTTATATTTTTGTGATTTCGCTTCATTTTCTGATTTTCTATTAATTGTGTTCAGTGTCTTTTAATTCTGCAAGCTTTATATTTTGGTGTTCATTAATTCTTCATTAAGCTTTTTGCTGCAATACAAATTTGTTCATGTTTTCTTTGCATCCATAAGCAACAAAGTTGCTCTAAGATATCATCATAAAGGTTCTTGATTATTACGATTTTTCTGCTTGTTAATTTAATGCTTGTTCATGTATAATCAAATTCTTTATCTTATAGTCCTAGGGCTGTGATGCATAAAATTAATAAGTTTTACTTTCTTTTATGGCAGATCACATATGCAGCTTGTCCATGCTCCCATGCTTGTTAGTTCAATGCTCCTATGCTCCTTAGTCCTGTGCTCTTAAACTCCTTATATAATGACATTCTTCATTCACTTATGCACCACACTTGTGTTCACTGCATAACCAATATCCATTTAACTGAACTGTAACTTGAATTCTGTTTCATTTGTCAGTAATAAAAGATAAATTTTAGTCTCATCATTACCCACTTCCCAAGTAGGCTGTTGCCAACCTATCAAGTAGAAGTAGGTGACGTATTTACCTCACCCGTGGGAGACACCGGCAACATTGTTCCTTAGACTATAGTTCTAAGAAAGTTCAGATATTTGATCACTCTCCATGCATTATGGTATATGAGTTTCCATACCAAATGGCATCAAACATTCTAAGAAATTCAATTGATAGTATACTTGATATGATTACGCTTTCAACTTAATTAACATTCAAAAATTATTCACTTATCCAAATTTGTGTATCTACCAAAGATATCATTATCATAACTTGGTGTTGAATTGTCATTGATTTGAATTAGAGTTAAGACTCTGCATCAAAGCGCTCAGCCGCGTTGGTCGATAATGGAGTTTTTTAACTATTACTAGGTCCAATAACTCCCCTCATAATAAGATATAGGTTAGTCTGAAATTTGGAATGCTATCCTGCTAATTATTTTCAATAATGAGACATTAAGATAAATTATGTAAACTCTTTATTTCAACTGTTATCAGGGAGGATGAAATTTTGTACCCCGATGTTTGTAAAGTGCGCGACTTTTCTAGCAATTTCTTGATATACGTCAGTTTAACTATTCATTCTTTATTGATTGCTACCTCAAACATTTCTGAATTATTATTCTAGTATTAGATATAAGCACTTGAAGCCCAAAGGCAGGTGAAACTTCCATAAATTAAAGCACAACCCGACCTTTGGTTGTCATACTCTCCTGCAGGCGCAGGCAATAAATCTTCATTTCAAGGTAAACATGCACTCTTCTTTCACAGCCCACTTCACAGACTGGTCTATGAGCATCATGATCGTATACGAGCATAATTATGTTTTTAAATATGATGAGAATGAATGCTAAAACAACACAATTTAGTATAAAGTTTTCCATTTGCTGCCACATGAACAATTATTTTAATGCACATCTTTGAATTAAATGAGCTGGAGTATAGCATATTAAATTCTATATGTTCAGGATTCTATGTAATCATTGGAGTATTTAATTTGATGTGGAAATTTTCAGTCAGAAATTTATTAAATACGGTTAAGAAATGTTCTTAATTTCATGTCCTTCTATTGCTGGAAAAATTTTTTCAAGGATAAAAAGTAGTCCGTAACAATGAATTGAACATCGCTTTATAATATGTCATATTAATATATTGTAAAAATGCTGATATATGGACTATAGGCATGAATGTAGAATGACATTCTGTGTTTGGAGGTGAAAGGAGGGGCGAGGGGTAGGTTTTAAAGTGCCAATCCATCAATGGACAACCCCAAAACACTGCCAATGTCTGTGAGGTTCACAACACAAGATTGTTTACAATTGTGGTGGACTGGTGGGTAGATGATGACATGAGAGTGAGCTCGGAGGGGAGAACAGATCCCCT